TCGTTCATTAGAACGTGAAAAAAAATTATCCATTATAAAATTTTTTCTCTACGTGTTTTATAATGTCATGGTCATGCGCGCATTAAAAAACTGTTTTTTACAGGCATTTCAGAACTTTACTGCAGTATTCATAGTTGATTCGCTTTAATTTTTTAATATAAATTGCTTCTAGTATTTGTAATCTAGATTTAAAATGAATATATATATATATATATATATATATATATATATAAAATTAAAAAAATAGTGGACTCTCACGTCGTATGAGGGTCAAGCAGCTCAGTTCTTAGGAATCGGCAGCCCAGACACCAGCACATATGATTTGATTATAGTGGTGAAGTATTAGGTTGGTGTCAAAATAATGACGTAATAATGTCGTTTTTTGACGTTAAAAATACGTCAAAAACGACATTATTACGTCATTATTTTTGCACCAACCTAATATTTGTACAGGACCATCCATACATTTTGAAAGGCCGAATACAGTGACCTGGTGCACTGCGTGCAACAAGGTACCCAAAACGACCTTCCGCAGGTTTTGAATTCAGAGTTGTCCTTCTCCTAGACCAGTTGCCATCCAAGGCTATAGAACCCAGTCTGTTCTGCTATTTACTCATAGCTGAGGGGAAAAGAAGTGGATTAATACCTTTCCCAAGTATATAAGCACGTAAGTGAACGTAATAGATTCAACAGTAATTCGAACTCGGCTTTCCAGTTCCTCAATCCGAGCCGCTGTCCACTACTCCACCGTGCCTCCACACCAGAAGAAAATGTTCTTAAGAAAGGGGATCGTATCTGTCTATTTTTCTGAGATGAGGTATTATGTAAACTATTTACATTATTCGGAATATTGTCCTCATCTTTGCCGCCATATTTATTACAACGTTTCGGCCCTTCAGTATCTGTCTATATTTCTGAAATGAGGTATTATGTACACTATTTACATTATTCGGACTATTGTCCTCATCTTTGTCGTCATATTTATTACAACGTTTCAGCCCTTCAGTATCTGTCTATTTTTCTGAGATGAGGTATTATGTACACTATTTACATTATTTGGACTATAATCCTCATCTTTGTCGCCATATTTATTACAACGTTTCGGCCCTAATATCTGTCTATATTTCTGAGATGAGGTATTATGTACACTATTTATATTATTCGGACTATTGTCCTCATCTTTGTCGCCATATTTATTACAACGTTTCGGCCTTTCAGTATCTGTCTATATTTCTGAGATGAGGTATTATATACACTACTTACATTATTCGGACTATTGTCCTCATCTTTGTCACAATATTTATCTCAACGTTTCGGCCCTAATATCTGTCTATATTTCTGTGATGAGGTATTATGTACATTATTTACATTATTTGGACTATTTTCCTCATGTTTGTCGACATATATATTACAACGTTTCGTCCGTTGTACGTTCCAGCCTTCTTCGGGTGGTTTATAATACACAGAAATTCATACACAGATGTCCTCAAAGACACATGGCACATTGGATAAATGCGTTAGTTAGATCCAGTGACCGGACCCAAAAGAGTGTGAGTTCAATACCCGGTTAAGGCAGTAGAGAACTTTCAGACGGGAATTAACAGGAGATAACTGACATCCATTACACATGGTACGTGTAACTAGAACAGTAGAGCGAAATAAAGAGTTCAGCTCGACATGCCAACCAACTGCAGAAGGCCGGAGCGTAGATAGGCCGAAACGTTGTAATAAATATGGTGACATAGATAAAGACAATAGTCTGAATAAGGTAAATAGTTTACCAAAACCGCAAACTAGATTTTGCCAAGTCAACAACGACAGTATCACTTTCCGATTTAAATGCGGGTCGGTCTAATAATTTATTGCATACGAACTCTGATATAAACCAATTTTTGTACGAAGGAATGATATAAAAACGTTATTTACTTTTGTTCAATTTATTCGAGTGTTATTTTTTTCTTGTACGTTATTGCCCTGCTTAGACCAGCCTAACACGAAGATACCTGCGGCGATTCGATCTTAGGTGCCTTATGATCAAACTTAAATCATAACGTGGAATAAGATTAACTCTGGATTGAAGCGGTCACATCAGCGACAAGCCCAACACGAAGATACCTGCGGCGATTCGATCTTGGCTGCCTTATGGTCAAATTTAAATCAGAAAGTGGGATAAGGTTAGCTCTGGATTGAAGCGGTCACATCAGCGACCAGCCCAACACGAAGATACCTTCGACGATTCGATCTTGGCTGCCTTATGGTCAAATTTAAATCAGAAAGTGGAATAAGGTTAGCTTTGGATTGAAGCGATCATTTCAACGACCAGCCCAAGACAAAGATACTGGCGACGATTCGATCTTGGCTGCCTTATGATCAAACTTAAATCACAACGTGGTATAAGGTTAGCTCTGGATTGACGCGGTCACATCAGCGACCAGCCCAACACGAAGATGTTATTCATCATGACGATCGTCTTCGAGTATAGAATCCAGAGGTTAGCAGTGAATATTTCAAAGACAGTAGGAAAGTGTTGTTCAGGTTAGCAGTGGATATTTTGGTAAAAGTAGCAGAGCGTAGTTCGTCCTTCTGGTTCTCTTCGTCTGACAAGCTGGAATTGAACATTCGGGTAGAGTAGACAAAATGGCCGCCTTTATACACGACGAATTGAATGTTCTACGTCTTCTGATTGGTTAACCTTCTATTGGTGGACTATGAAGGGAGTTAAGTCATTTTGACTGGCTCACTAGTTATATAATATATACAAAAAACTGCAACAGAAGATAACTGAGGCGATCCGATTTTGGCTGCCTTATGATCTAACTATAAATCACAACGTGGGATAAGGTTAGATCTGGATTGAAGCGATCATTTCAACAACCAGCCCAACAGGAAGATAATGGTGACCATTCGATCTTGGCTGCCTTATGATCAAACTTAAATCACAACGTGGGATAAGATTAGCTCTGGATTGAAGCGGTCACTTTAGCGACCAGCCGTTGTTTCGGATGTTTTGGGCGACCGGGGAGGTTCTTCAGTCCAGAGCTAACCTTACCCACGTTGTGATTTGTGTTTGATCATATGTCAGCCAAGATCTGTTCCATTTTTTTTGTTTTAAAGTAAGGAATTTCTGCAAATTATGTACACTTGTACATACTGTACGACCGGACAAAGATTTTTCTCCATGAATTTGATGACGTCATCAATAAGCTTTCTCTTTTCTCCCAGTTTTCTTCAACAATCCTTCATATTTTCACCATTATCGGAAGAATTTGATTCTTCCTCTATTTCTTGACAATCCAAATCATTTTGAAGCGATTCTACCGCTGAATTCTTTTGCAATTCATTAATCACTTCATGTATCCATTCTTTTAAATTATCCGAACTGAGAACATTCTTGGATCGTCTTCAAACATAAGTTATAGCGTTTCGTTCAGATTCTGCAATGCTTGTTTGTTAATTTCCAAATTAAACAAATTAAGAGCTTCTTCCAGTTTTTCAATAATGTCGAATTTTTGACGCAACGTGAAAGAATTTGAATTCTTTTTTCTTCCAGCTGAAGTTTCTTCTGTACGAGACATTATGGGTTGAGAAATTTCAAGTTATTAACAATTATCTGCAAAGAAAAGAAAAAAAATATTAAAATGGCAACACAGAGAAGTTCGGATATGAGGTTTTCTCCATTATTTTATTGTTGTAGAAATTATTTCATATTGGATTCCTAATTGAGGTCTTCTACATTATTTTATTGTTGTAGAAATTATTTCATATTGGATTCCTAATTGAGGTCTTCAACATTATTTTATTGTTGTAGAAATTATTTCATATTGGATTCCTAATTGAGGTCTTCTAGATTATTTTATTGTTGTAGAAATTATTTCATATTGGATTCTTAATTGAGATCTCCTACATTATTTTATTGTTGTAGAAATTATTTCATATTGGATTCTTAATTGAGATCTCCTACATTATTTTATTGTTGTAGAAATTATTTCATATTGGATTCCTAATTGAGGTCTTCTATATTATTTTATTGTTGTAAAAATTATTTCATATTGGATTCCTAATTGAGGTCTTCTACATTATTTTATCGTTGTAGAAATTATTTCATATTCGACTCGTAAATTCATATCTTAAACGAAACTTTAGACCCAATTTAATTAAAATCTCTCGAAGCACCAGAAGGATAATCAATCAATGTATTTAATGCCAATCAAATCAACGCCCGAAGAAAACGTAGCAAGGCTCCCCACAGAATAATGTCTATCATCTACTAATCTTAACCGCCGTCCTGCGGCACACTAGTGTCACGGTATACAAATATAAGTGTATGGAAGTAGTAATGATAGAGCATTATTATTTGAATAAAGGATTAAGTATCAATTTTTTCTTTTTTAAATATTAGGTTCACCAGAATATTCTGATTCGCTTAGGAAACGGAAAGAAAACATTAAAATTTTATGGAGGAAACACCAAGATTAATTCATCAAAATAAAGTCCATCATTCTCGATGATCTTCTGCCAGCGATCAGTCAGCATCTGAATCTGTCCCAGATACCCGTTCGCTGGCTTTGAATCAAAATAGTGTAAACAAGCTTCCTTCACTTCATCCAAAGTGTTGATGGCGGTCAAAGTTTTCCATTGAGTTGAATAGACGATAGCCATTCGGGGCATCATGGAGATAAATAGTGGATGTGGAAGAATGGCAACATCGTCCATTAATTTGAACTTCTTCTCAGTCAACAATTCAGTGTGTGTCTTCGGTTTGTCTTGCTGAAACAAATCCTGATCACGATTTACCAAAGCAGGATACTCCTTCAGTTGTTTGTCGTACAGGCGGTCTAGTTGCTGGAAATACAGCGATGATGCCGCTGCCATGTGGAAGAAGCTTGAAATGTAACACTCTTTGGGAATACCACAAGACAGAGATCAAGATTTGTTTTCTTTCCGCTTCCTAAGTGAGTCAAGACTTTCTGGCCAACGCAATATCTCGCTAGCTATCTTAGTCTTTTTATCTATCTATCTATCTATCTATCTGTCTATCTATCTATCTATCTATCTGTTCCTCTCACTCCTTCTCTGTTCTCAGTCTGTTCATATCTATCTATCTATCTATCTATCTATCTATCTATCTATCTATCTATCTATCTATCTATCTGTTCCTCTCACTCCTTCTCTGTACTCAGTCTCTCCATATCTATCTATCTATCTATCTATCTATCTATCTATCTATCTATGTTCTGACTCCTTCTCTGTTCTCAGTCTGTTCATATCTATCTATCTATCTATCTATCTATCTATCTATCTATCTATCTATCTATCTATCTGTTTGTTCTCAGTCTGTCCATATGTTCTCAGTCTGTCCATATCTATCTATCTATCTATCTATCTATCTATCTATCTATCTGTTTGTTCTCATTTCCTTCTCTGTTCTCAGTCTGTTCTGTTCATATCTATCTATCTATCTATCTATCTATCTATCTATCTATCTATCTATCTATCTATCTATCTATCTCCTGAGTTAGCCAGAAAGTCCTCTCTCACTTAGGTGGTTGAAAGAAAGCATTAAAAGTTTTGGAGCAGCACCAACATTTGTTCTTCAAGATAAAGTCCATCATTCTCTACGATCTTCTGTTAGCGATCAGCCAGGATCCGAATCTGTTCCAGATACCCGTCCGCTGGCTTTGAATAAAAAAATGTAAACAAACTTCTTTCACGTCATCGAAAGTGTTGAACCGCTGATCAAGGAGGAAGTTTTTCATTGAGCGGAATAGACCATAGCAATTTGGAGCCATATCGGGACTGAATAATGGATGTCGACGAATCTCAACATCGTCCATCTGTTTGAATTACTCTTTAGTTAATCTGTCAGTCTGTGGTCTCACATTGTGTTGCTGAAACGAAGCCTGACCACGAATGACCAAAGCAGGATACTCCTTTTTTTTTAGTTCGACGTACAGGCCAAGTAACTGCTGTAAATATAGTTTAACGTTGATGACACAGCTGTGTGGAAGAAGCTCAAAATGCAATACTCCTTGGGAATACCTCTAGGCAATGATCAAGATTTATTATTTTCTTTCTGCTTCCTAAGTGAGTCAGGACTTTCTGGCCAACGTAACATCTATCTATCTATCTATCTATCTATCTATCTATCTATCTATCTATCTCATTCTGTTCATTTTCTATCTATCTATCTATCTATCTATCTATCTATCTATCTATCTATCTATCTATCTACTGAGTTAGCCAGAAAGTCCTCTCTCAATTAGGTGCTAGAAAGAAAACATTAAAATTTTATGGAGCAGCACCAACATTTGTTCTTCAAAATAAAGTCCATCATTCTCTTCGATCTCCTGTTAGCGATCAGCCAGGATCTGAATCTGTTCCAGATACCCGTCGGCTGGCAGTATTTGTGTTTTATTTTTGTGGTTTTGAACACACCAAGGCCTGGAATAAAATTCTATGACAATTTCTCGGACATTCAGGCCGGTAAATGTTGTTTAATACTGTTTATTATAAACAGAGCATTTACTTAAATATTTTTATCTATAAAAAGAATGTATAAACATAAAAATGTCTTAAAATAATTGTCGGACTTTATCCATTTCATAATGTGTGACGTCATTTGTTTATATGTAGATACGCATCGAGCAGATATGAATGTACGTGAGAAAATCATGGAAAATTGTAGTTTAAAAACGGCAAAATCGACCTTGCCAACCGAAACGCTCCTCTGTAGCTAAATCGGTAAAGCACGTCATGCTTTATGACGGTTCTGTATAGGATACAGGTTCGAATCCTGTCGGAGCATGCATATTTTCTAGAACAATTTCTCAGACATTCAGGCCGGTAAATATCGTTAATATGGTTTATTATAAACAGAGCATTTGCTTAAATATTTGTATCTATATAAAAAGAATGTATAAACATAAAAATGCCTTTATATATATATATATATATATATATATATATATATGTTTCATTAAATAATATAGACAAGTGTTGTCTATTTTATGTAAATTCTTTTCATAACGTCTGATAAGCTTAATAACATTATCATTAAACGAAGAAAGAAAATCACAATATTGATCCATATTTTTTAATACAATCTAAGCTTTCGACTGACATAAGCCATTATCAAAGATGTCAATTACTATACAATATATTAAGCAATATACGGACAAGAAAGTGATGATTATTGGTTAAATAATTTAGCCATATCTATTTTAGTTTTAATCCGTTTAAATCCACGAATTAATTTCTTGATGGCTGTAGAATATTGATTAAGAAAAATCCCAAAATTTTCTTTCAGACAGTTTTTATTTTCCCAAGTACTTTCAATCTCATCTGAGATTATCTTCAGAGGGTTAAAAAAAGATATGTGGATGTGTATACAGTAATAATGCGTGCCTCATAAGTTGGTAGAACCTCGAAACTTGTTACACTTCGAACGTAGGCATATGTATATTTATTTATACTGAATTCAAAACTTTGAATTCAAAAACCCGCGGAGGCTCGTTTGGGGAACTTGTGGCTCGTAGCGTGCCAGGTCTCTGTATTCGGCCCTTCAAAAAGTATGGTTGGTTCTGCACAAAGCATTCACCATTATAATCAAATTATATGTGCCGGTGCCTGGACTATCGGTTCCTAGGAACTGAGCTGCTTCACCCTCATACGTCGAATACGACGGAGAGTCTATATATATATATATATATATATATATATATATATATATATATATATATTTATATATATACATATCAAGAAAGAAATTCGGATTACTAACACAAAAACAGAAAATGTCTCATATCGAGAATATTTAACATTGAAAAACATAAGGAAAAAATTAATTATTTTTAATAATATGTGGAAATTCCGCTTTTTTACCTGAAGACGGTCGCGAGACCAGAAACACGTGTAGTAAAATTATGGAAAACAAAGCATAATATTTTTTCTAAATAAATCCACATTACAACCAAAAACGTTTGCGGCACCTCTCTTCTCTTCTTCTTAATATACATACTTTTCTCTCGTTTGAACCACTACAACCTCTTTAAATATATATATATATATATATATATATATATATATATATATATATATAGGCTACTGAAAAAATAATTTCGGTTGAGCTCTCTGGGGGAGGAAGTGTGGGTTTGTAAACAGTGAACTATTACGGCTGTTATAACAAGACTCTTCGGTAAAGCGAATCGAGTCCTTTCAGTGACTGTGTATATATCTAAATATAAATAAACTAAAATTCACGTTTATCCCTGCCGTGCGCAGACGGCGTAGTGGTAGAATCTCCGACTGACGGCAATTCAGCTGGGTTTCGATCCAACCGGACGTCTAGCCAGACTGAAGAGCTGTGATACAGCGAAACAGACTGTCTGTGGATAACAATATATAGGTAAAATCCAGGTGAATTCTGTTAATATAAAATATGGAAACTGATACACAAAAGTGAGCACAGTATATTTATCATAGAGCATAGAAATGAATTACATAAAGTAAAACTCAATTAGACCCCATTTTTATGGCCATTTCGCTCCTTGCGATAAATTCCCTGGAGTTTGTCAATACTAAAACGTTTGATAAAAGAAGGAATCGTAACGCCTTTTTTTAATTTAAAATTAAAAAATGGATAGAAAAATGTTATTATATATATATATATATATATATATATATATATATATATATAATTATATGGGTCTGTGAGAGTGTGCTATCCCTTGTATCTATCCCTTTACCTTTCTCTCTCTCTCGATATCTTCTTCTTATTATTATTATTCTTTTACTTCTTCTTATTATTATTTATTTTTCTTTTTATTATTCTTTTTTTATTATTCTTATCCTTATTCTTCTTATACTTCTTCTTCTTATTATTATTCTTATTGTTTTATTCTTCTTCATCTTCTTCTCCTTATTATTATTATTATTATTCTTTTTCTTATTATTATTCTTTTTCTTCTTCTTTTTCTTCTTCTTTTTCTTCTTCTTTTTCTTCTTCTTCATATTATTATTCTTTTTCTTCTTTTTCTTCTTATTATTCTTTTTCTTCTTCTTTTTCTTCTTCTTCATATTATTATTCTTTTTCTTCTTTTTCTTCTTATTATTCTTTTTCTTCTTCTTTTTCTTCTTCTTCATATTATTATTCTTTTTCTTCTTTTTCTTCTTATTATTCTTTTTTCTTCTTTTTTTCTTCTTCATATTATTATTCTTTTCTTCTTTTTTCTTCTTATTATTATTTTTCTTCTTCTTTTCTTCTTCTTCATATTATTATTCTTTTCTTCTTTTTCTTCTTATTATTCTTTTTTCTTCTTTTTTCTTCTTCTTATTATTATTCTTTTCTTCTTTTTCTTCTTATTATTCTTTTTCTTCTTCTTTTTCTTCTTCTTCATATTATTATTCTTTTTCTTCTTCTTTTTCTTCTTATTATTCTTTTTCTTCTTCTTTTTCTTCTTCTTCATATTATTATTCTTCTTCTTTTTCTTCTTATTATTCTTCTTATTACTATTCTTCTTATTCTTTTTCTTCTTCTTCTACTTCTTCTTATTATTATTATTGTTCTTTTTTCTTCTTCTTCTTCTTCTTCTTCTTCTTCTTCTTATTCTTTTTCTTCTCCCTATTCTTATTCTTATTCTTCTTATTATTTTTCTTTTTCTTCTTCTTCTTCTCATTATTATTATTCATTTTTCTTTTTATTATTCTTTTTTATTATTATTCTTTTTCTTCTTCTTTTTCTTCTTCTTCTTCTTCTCATTATTATTATTCATTTTTCTTTTTATTATTCTTTTTTATTATTATTCTTTTTCTTCTTCTTTTTCTTCTTCTTCTTCTTCTTCTTCTTATTCCTTTTTTCTTATTTATTTTTCTTATTTTTCGTTTTTTATTCTTATTCTTATTATTCTTTTGATTATTCTTCTTTTTATTCTTCTTCTTCTTATTATTATTTTTTTTTCTTCTCCTTGTATTATTATTTATTTTTCTTTTTATTATTCTTTTTATTCTTGTTCTTCTTCTTCTTATTATTTATTTTTTCTTTTTATTATTTTTTTATTATTCTTCTTATTCTTATTCTTATTCTACTTTTCTTCTTCTTCTTCTTCTTCTTATTATTATTATTTATTTTTCTTTTTATTATACTTTTATTATTATTCTTTTTCTTCTTCTTCTTCTTCTTCTTATTATTATTATTATTCTTTTTTTCTTCTTCTTCTTCATTATTATTATTCATTTTCTTTTTATTATTCTTTTATTATTCTTCTTATTCTTATTCTTCTTATTATTATTCTTTTTTTCTTCTTATTATTATTATTTATTTTTTTTTTTATTATTCTTTTATTATTATTATTCTTTTTTCTTATTATTCTTATTCTTCTTATTATTATTATGTTTTCTTATTATTATTTTATTATTTATATTTCTTTTTATTATTGTTTTTATTAATATTATTATTGTTTTTATTCTTCTTTTTATTCTTCTTATTATTATTCATTTTCTTCTTATTATTATTATTCTTTTTCTCTGTGAAGGTCTTTTGTTCGATGTGTGGGTCTTCCCCAGATACCGCAATGCAGGGTTGGTAGGGAAGAATGTGACACGCTTGGGTGATTTTGTCTCTTTTCGATTAATCATTGCTGAGGGTCATTTGCACGGAAATGAATGTAAGAATTCGAAGACGTCTCTCCAGTTTCCCATCCCGAGCCATAATATCCTCGTATCATCTAGGTACTGAACAGGCTCGACGTTGCTTAACTTCGGGTATCATACGGGAACCGGTGTTTCCACGTGAGATGTCCGTAATCTCTCTCTATATCTACCTAGATCTAATTGTCTCCGTGCCCCAGACAATCAATCAAGCAGTCTTACACACTTGTTAATATTTGTTGACCTCAGAAAATCTTGTCGCAACCTTTATTATTCATTGAATAGCGATCGGCAGACTGGCGTCAAATTCACTTTATTCATAATCCAATGTTACAGAGATCAAGATTTCACTTTCTCTTCTTCTTCTTCTTCTTCTTCTTCTTCTTCGCTTTCTTTATAATTCCCTTTCTTTTTTCATCTACTTTCTCTTCTTCTTCTTCTTCTTTCATATCTTTCTTTGCTTTTTTCTTCGTCTTCTTCTTTATAATTTCCTTTCGTTTTTCTTCTTCTTCTTCATCTTCTTCTTCTTCGTTTTCATATCTTTCTTTGCTTTTTCTTCTTCGTCTTCTTCTTTATAATTTCCTTTCGTTTTTCTTCTTCTTCTTCTTCTTCTTCTTCTTCTTCTTTCCCTTTCTTTCTATACTTCTTCTTCTTAATCTATATTCATATTTATTTTTTCGTTATAGTGCGTTTTTAGTGAAATTTGTTCTTCATTTTCTTCTTTTTTCTTCTTCCTTCGTTCTTCCTAATTTCGCTTCATTTTTCTTCTTCCTATTCTTCGTCTTCCACTTCTTCTTCTTCTTCTTCTTCTTCTTCATAATTTCGTTTCATTTTCCCCTTCCTATTCTTCGTCTCTCACTTTTTCTTCTTCTTCTTTTGTTCTTCATAATTTCATTTTTCTTCTTCCTATTCTTTGTCTCCCACTTCTTCTTCATCTTGTTCTTCGTTTTCATATCTTTCTTCTCTTTTTCTTAATTGTATTTTCTTTTTCATTTAGCTTTATACCGCCTTTCTTTTTCGCAAATCTTATTCTTATTCTTCATAATTTCGTTTTATTTTTCTCCTTCATCGTCGTTTTCATCATTTCACTGCCATTTTTAATGAACTTTCTTCTTCTTAATATTATCCTTCTTATTCTTTACACCTTCGTTTTCTTCCTATAACCCTCGCCATATTAAAACTTCTTCTTGGTACATTTTTTCGTCTTCCTCATCATATTTCATTTTTCATATTTCTATTTCTCTCCAGCGTCATTCTTTCTTTGCTGAAATTCTTCTTCTTCTTCTTCTTCTTCTTCTTCTTCTTCTTCTTCTTCTTCTTCTTCTTCCCCCCCTCCGTCTTATCCACGTCTTTATCTTATCCTCTTTAGTCTTCTTTTTCTCTTTTTCTTTCCGTCTTCTCTTTCTCTTTATCTTATCAACTTTACTCTTTATTTCTCTCTTCTCCCCTCTGTCTTCTTCTTCTTTATTGAAAATCGTTCTCCTTCTATTCGTCTTTTTTTTCTTCTTACTATTTTTCTTCATATTCTTTATAGCTTAATTTTTCTATTATTTTCTTCATCGTATGTCATTCTTTATATTTATACAGCATTATATTTACTTTTTCTTTACTGAAATTTCTTCTTCCTTTTCTTCTTCTTACGTCTGCTTTCGTCTTCCTGTTTCTTCATCGAATTTTCGTCTTCCTATTTTTTCAAAATTATATTTATTTTACTGAAATTTCTTCTTTTTCTTCTCCTTTCCACAGTCTTTTTCCTTATCTCCTTCACCGTATATGTTCCTCCACTTCTTCCACTTCTCCATCTTATTCTTCTTCTTACTGTTAATCTTCTTCCTTCTTCGCCTTTTTCTTCTTCTTCCTCCTGTACATCTTCTTCTTCTCTTCAACGTCATCTTCACCTTCTTCTTCCTCTACGTCTTCAACATCTTCTTCTTCCTAACTCTTTTTTTTCTTCTTCCACTACTTCATCTTCACCTTCCTCTTCCTCCTCTTCTTCTTCTTCTTCTTCTTCTTCAAATCCTTGAAATTCTTCAAATTCTTACTCTTATTCTTCAATTTCTCCTTTCTTTTCCATTTCTACTTCTTCTTTTTCTTCTTCTTCTTCAACTCTTTATCTTCACCTTCTTCTTCAAATTCTCCTTCTTTTTCTTCAAATTCTTCATCTTCATCTTCTTCCTCTTATTCTTCAATTTCTTCTTTCTTTTCCACTTCTTCTTCAACTCTTCACCTTCACTTTCTTCTTCTTTAAATTCTTCTTCTTCTTCTTCATTTTCATTTTCTTCCTCTTGTTCTTCAATTTCTTCTTCTTCTTCTTCATCTTCTTCTTCCTCTTTATTCCTCAATTTCTTCTTCTTCCTCTTCCACTTCTTTTTTTCTCTTTCTTTTCCTTCTTGATGCTAGGCAACCGTTTCTCTGATACAGGCGCCCAATTGTTACATTTATAAATTCGACTGCCATTGAACGCAAAAGTTTTCCATCCCACGATATTCAATAAAATACGAGGAGAGTGGTGAAAAGCTTTTCGACTCAAACACGTACAGATTCAAAAAGACGGACAGATTCCAAAAAACTTTTCCGTCGACAACTTTCCAGTGCCCCTTAGACGTGTTTTCATTTAGTTAGGGTTATTTAATTTATAAAAACTCATAGTTTCGCCTGCTTAGATTGCCGTCAATAAATCCTGTGAGTGTTAAATTCTCCAAACCCACTTTCCTCATTACGTGTCCTCGAAATTTCAAAGTGTCTCCTTCTGATTGTAACTACATATTATCATATAAATCCTATTTTCGTCATGACTACCTAGCAGCTTACATGTTTTATCCATGGAGTCAAGGTACTATTCTGTAGAAACACATTTCTGTTCCTTCACGTTTAGGCATTACCTTTGAAAAGATTGTCCAGTATTCAGTGCTATGCAGTAGATTCAATATTACATAGCCGTCGAGCACTCTTTTCTTTGTTTCTAACAATATTTTCCTCTCTCTTAATACTTTTCTTAGTTTATGAAAGGCATGAAGAGATTGTCCATCATTCACCGCCATATAGGAGGACTGATATTATATAACCGTTCAGCACCCTTTTCTTGGTTTCTGTTGCCTCAAATCTCTTCTTCATCTGTGAGAAGATTGTCCAGCATTCACTGCCGTATAGGAGGACTGATATTATATAACCGTTCAGCAGCCTTTTCTTTGTTTCTGTTGCCTCAAGCCTCTTCTTCATCTGTGAGGAGGTTGTACAGCATTCACTGCCAAATAGGAGGACTGATATTATATAACCGTTCAGCAGCCTTTTCTTTGTTTCTGTTGCCTCAAGTCTCTTCTTCATCTGTGAGGAGATTGTCCAGCATTCACTGCCGTATAGGAGGACTGATATTATATAACCGTTCAGCAGCCTTTTCTTTGTTTCTGTTGCCTCAAGCCTCTTCTTCATCTGTGAGGAGGTTGTACAGCATTCACTGCCAAATAGGAGGACTGATATTATATAACCGTTCAGCAGCCTTTCTTTGTTTCTGTTGCCTCAAGTCTCTTCTTCATCTGTGAGGAGATTGTCCAGCATTCACTGCCGTATAGGAGGACTGATTTTATATAACCGTTCAGCAGCCTTTTCTTTGTTTCTGTTGCCTCAAGCCTCTTCTTCATCTGTGAGGAGGTTGTACAGCATTCACTGCCATATAGGAGGACTGATTTTATATAACCGTTCAGCAGCCTTTTCTTTCCTTCTGTTGCCTCAAGTGTCTTCTTCATCTGTGAGGAGATTGTCCAGCATTCACTGCCATATAGGAGAAGTGATATTATATAATCGTTCAACACCCTTTTGTTTGTTTCTGTTGCCTCAAGTCTCTTCTTCATCTGTGAGGAGATTGTCCAGCATTCAGTGGCATATAGGAGGACTGATATTATATAACCGTTCAGCACCCTTTTCTTTGTTTCTGTTGCCTCAAGTCTCTTCTTCATTTGTGAGGAGATTGTCCAGCATTCACTGCCATATAGGAGGACTGATATATAACTGTTCAGCAACCTTTTCTTTGTTTTTGTTGCCTCATGTCTCTTCTTCATCTTTGAGGAGATTGTCCATCATTCACTGCCATATAGGAGGACTGATATTATATAACCGTTCAGCACTCTTTTCTTTGTTTCTGTTGCCTCGGGTCTCTTCTTCATCATTGAAGAAAATGGAAACAAAAAGCAAACTTAACACAAGAAAGCGTCTGTTGATATTTCTATGACACGTACTGAGGATTGGGGACTTGGAAAATCTGATACTCACAGGATGAATAGAGGGAAAGAGAGACAGGTGAAAGGAACGCTTGACCTACTTAATGGGCTTGAGCAAGTGGATGGCAGAACAGAGCTACAAGGGACAGGGGGATGTGAAGGCCCATGATCACCTACGTCCTGATGAGACATGGTATATGAAAAAGATAAAGGGAAATGTCGACAAAATTACCAGGCAATAAAAAAGAAAAAAAAAAAGAAAGAGAGAGAGAGAGAGAGAGAGATTAGCCAGGAAGATATTAAAAGAGGGAAAAAATAGAAAAAGAGAGAGTGAGTGAAAAAGAGTGAGAAAGACAGAAGAATTTAGAAGAGAAAAGAAACAAATTTAGCTAGGGAGATAATAAAAGAGAGAGGAAGATGGAAAGAAAAAGCGAGATATGAAGAAAGAGAGAGACAGACAGACAGACAGACAGACAGACAGAGAAATAGGGAAAGAGTGAAGAAAAAGAGGTGAGACTTAGATAGGAAGATATTAAACGAGACTGGAAAGAAAAAGAGAGATATGGAGAAAGAGAAAGAGAGAAAGATTGAGGAAGACCGAAGAAGAAACTTAGGCAGGGAGAGATTAAAAGAGAGAGACAGGTTGAAATAAAAAGAGAGATCTGAAGAAAGAGAGAAAGAGAAAGAGAGAAATCGTGAGAAAAAAGGACAAATTAGATAGGGAGATATTAAAAGAGAGAAAAATTGATAAAAGAGTGATATGAAGAGAGAGAGAGAGAGAGAGAGTGTGTGTGTGTGTGTGTGGAAAAGAGTGAGGAAGACAGCAGACAGATATGGTTATATTAAAAAAGAGAGAAAGATGGAAAGTAAAAGAGTGATATACAGAAAGAGAGAGAATGAAATAGGCAAGAAAGATTATTGAAAACAAGAAATGGAAGAATTAAGCAAGGAAACAACGAATGAAGTACCGTAATTCCCTATGTATTATACGCCTTCATCCACATAATACGCACTCCTAAAATTGTGTTGAAAGTGTAGGAAAATGCTTCTATTCACGAATAATACGCACCCCTAAAAATGTGTTAAAAGTGTAGGAAAATGCTTCTATTCACGAATAATACGCATCCCCTTGTTTCATAATGAAACCCTATAAATTGTACCTCTCCAATTTCATTACGGACAGCGTTTCTTACCCAGCTGAAATCTCTTCAGCTGTGACGGTCGAACTCTCTGTCTTCGGGCACAGAGGAACCCGGACGAGTCTCAGCCGAAGGGCAGAGTCTCGTTCGGGGAGGTAGACCGACCCTGAACCTGTTTATACGGGTTCAAAGGGAATATTCTTGGCCGAGCCTACGGGCTCGGAGAATACACGATAAACTCGTTCCTGTGCCACATACGACCCTCGTTGAGGGTAGGGGAGGCTGTAAAATATACCAGCGTTTCCTACTCTTAGAAAAAAATGGTTTTAAACATAAAATAATATTATTCTAATTTAGTTTTATGATAATTCTTATTTTATTTTATATTTGTAAGTATTGTTAGGTACATATGTTTGTATTTGACATCCTCATGGGGTCGCAATCGCCGAATGTTAGTGTCAAATTGTTGTATGTTTGTGGTGGGTAGTCATTTCACAACGGAAATCGACATAAGAAACGGCAATTTTTTAAAGATTGTTTTTGTAGCTGTGCATAATACGCACCCCTAATTTTGCTTATTATTTTTGTTATGGTCCGGTTCCTTGTACCACGGTGATAGTCCAAGGTAGAACCAATAAAAAACTCGAAGGCGGATATGGAATAACACAGATATATTACAAACAGGAATATATAGAGAGAGGTAGAAAAAGTGTTAGTACGAAGAATCAGGTTTAGGAGTAATTGTCTGAACGCGACTCTGTTTCGGACTGCCTCTGACTCGACTGACTGACTCGCTCTGACTGACTGACTGACAGACTCCTGATGGACTTCACTCCAGACTTCAGACGGAACTCAGACTTCAGACGGAACTCCCTGCTTCCTGTTGAGGCGCATATTTATTACGTATGGAATAGTCCATTATGTTATTATGGGTAAGGTCCCGTAATATTTTTCGTTTAGATAAAATGCATATTATACATGGGGAATTTCGGTAAGTGTTTATGAATAAGGAATTGTTTTCTTATTTATTTCTTTAGGAATTACTAAATGGTAAATATTGTATTTCATTCGTTTTAATTGTATTTGTTTTTAGAATGCTGAAAAATATAAAATTATTCCGGTAAATAAACAACTTAATAAATAAATAAATAGTGTTTAATATTTTTGTTGTCAGTTCACAAAAAAAAAAAAAAAAATTACAGATTCACTTTCGTAAGTTCAGGTCTTATTTCAATTATAATTATCGCTTTTTAAAAAAATAAAAAAATGTCAAAGAGTGAAGGTAGTTAAAATAATAGCGGTGTCAAAGGAAAAGCGTCCAAATTCCTAAGTTTGCCGAAAGATAATTATAGACGAATTCACACTCCCCCCCACCCCGGTCTATTGAACAGGAATTCACACACCTTCCCGGTCATTTTTTAGAGGTTTATCCCTTGTTACCTGTTTAGGATCGAGTCTCCGGTTCCTTGTAAAGTTTCCTTCGGCTCTATACTCCTAACGCTTGTACTTTCCTACGCTACTCGAGTGGCTCTTGGGCCTTGTATTGGATGATCTTTAGTAAAAAGAAAGAAAGAAAGAAAGAAAGAAAGAAAGGAGTTAATTTCTCACAAAAGAGAGGAAAAAAGAAGTAAGATAAGTAAAATCAATAATCGAAAAAGAAAGAAAATAACTAAAAATAAAATAAAGAGCGAACGAAAACTCTACATGAACGAAACTTCCACATGAAAGAAAACTCTACATGAACGAAACTTCCACATGAAAGAAAACTCTACATGAAAGAAAAACCCCACATGAAAGAAAACTCTACATGAAAAAACTCTACACGAAAGAAAACTCTACACGAAAGAAAACCCCCACACGAAAGAAACCTCTACATGAAAGAAAACTCTACATGTAAGAAAACTCTACATGAAAGAAAACTCCACATGAAAGAAAACCCCACATGAAAGAAAACCCCACATGAAAGAAAACTCTACATGAAAAAACTCTACACGAAAGAAAACTCTACACGAAAGAAAACCCCCACACGAAAGAAACCTCTACATGAAAGAAAACTCTACATGTAAGAAAACTCTACATGAAAGAAAACCCCACATGAAAGAAAACTCTACATGAAAGAAAAACCCATATGAAAGAATACTTTTCATGAAAGAAAAATCTACACGAATGAAAAATCTAAACGAATGAAAAATCTACACGAATGAAAAATCTACATGAAAAAGAATAAGTTTTAAAGTAATAAGATCCTAGAAAAAAAAAGAAGGAAAAAAACTATTTTTTTAAAAAAGAACAAAAGGAAAACCTTGAAATGAATGAAAGAAAGAAAAAACCAAGAGCAATCCGGCGGGAAACAACAAAAAAAAACAGAAAGAATATAGAATGAAGGAATAAATGAAGATATGAATGAAAGAATGAAGGAATAAATGAAGATATGAATGAAAGAAGGAAGGAATAAATGAAGATATGAATGAAAGAATGAAGGAATAAATGAAGATATGAATGAAAGAATGAAGGAATAAATGAAGATATGAATGAAAGAATGAAGGAATAAATGAAGATATGAATGAAAGAATGAAGGAATAAATGAAGAATAAATGAATGAAAAAGAAGGAAGGAATAAATGAAGATATGAATGAAAGAATGAAGGAATAAATGAAGATATGAATGAAAGAAGGAAGGAATAAATGAAGATATGAATGAAAGAAGGAAGGAATAAATGAAGATATGAATGAAAGAATGAAGGAATAAATGAAGATATGAATGAAAGAATGAAGGAACTAAAAGGTTTTCCCTTGTTTCCTGTTGAGTACTGGGTTTCCGGTTTGTTCTGAAGTCTGCTTCAATTCTATACACCTAAGCCTTGTCATTTCCGACGCTAATATCGTCCTGGGTATGACGATGAATTACATCCAATAGCAAGGCCTCTGATTGGGAGGTTTTAAGGGGAATGGAACCACCTATTAATGGCTGGTTTTCCTGGGGCCACTCTGACCTGGGATGATAGCACCCTTTAGGGTCCTATCTATGGACAAATGGTGACCCCCACACATAAAAATAGAGTTAAACCACTATGAAAGGGCAGAGATGAATTCTTATAATAAAAGTACAAGCAATTAATTTAAAAAAAATTATTACCAGTAATACATTTGACTCTCAAAAAAGCATCTTTACAAAAATACGTCAATGAAATCTAATCTACAAACTGATTTCTTACAAAGAATACATATTCTATTCATACGAAACTATCTTGAAAATCTTGTCGGCATTAAATAACCCATACAGATTGATATGCCGCTAAACAAATAAACCAACCCAAACTAAACCTACGCTAATATAAGTACACACAGTAACCCTCTACATTGAGTGGTTCTTGGGTCTTGTATTGGTTGAAGATGAGTAAACAAAAAAAGAAAGGAAAGAGATAATTTCTTACAAACAAAAGGAAAAAATGTGATATGCCCATAATATAAGTTTTTTCACAGCTCGACAGACAGACAAATGTTTTCATCCAAATGCCACACTCATCCCCGTCACACATTGAACTTATAAAGAAAAATGTGTGAAAGAAAAAGAGCGGCAAGCGATGCCATATTTGATTGTTTGTTTGTCTGTTATGAGTCATAGCTGAAGGAGGTGAAATGGCCCGTAGGTGAGTCGGGTTGCGATGCGGTGGGGTAGACCTGATGGCCAAGAAAAGTTACGGACGTCGCCGTCTTTATCCTAACCTCTCCATTCGCCTCTGCCGAATTTTACAGTGCGGCCATAAATATCGCTAAAGAATTTACTGACTCAGTTGTTTATAAAGAAGACGGAAGTGGAGTGTGACGTCATTTCGCCGGCGGCCGAAAAAAAAATAATAAAAAACAAATGACTTACACAGAAGTGTTTTAAATGTCTTTGGCTGAAACTGTTGTTTCTCTGTGGGTCGAATCACCTTTCCTTCTTTCCTTCTTTTCAGTATCTCATTCCAAAATGTCTGTCTGCCATTCTCATTTTCATATCCATCAACCTTCATGACCGCACTAATGTTATCACTTTCTCTCTCTCTTTCTCTATCTCTAACCCTCTCTGTGCGTACGCTTCGAGAAGTGATCCACAATGAAAATAAAAAGAAAAATCCATAATGAAACGAAAAAAGTCATAAATAACTAAAAGCAAATAGAAAAAAATAACCGAAAAACAATAGAAATGAAAAACGAAAGAAAGAAGAATCTTTAAAATGAAAGAAAAATCGTAAAAATAAGAAAGAGAATAGTAAAAACGAAACAAAAATGAAAGAAAATAACTAAAATCAAAACAAAGTAAAAAAAAAAAACAGAAGAAAAATATGCATGAAAAAAGAATGAAGAAGCCTTAAAACAAAAGAAAGAAAAATGATAGAAAAAAGAAAGATAGAAAAAATCACATAAAAAAGAAAGAAAAAAATCATGTAAAACGAAAGATAGAAAAAATCACATAAAAAGGACAGATAGAAAAAATCATGTAATAAAGAAAGAAAGAAAAAACACATAAAAAAGAAAGATAGAAAAAATCACGTAAAAAAGAAAGATAGAAAAATCACGTAAAAAAGAAAGAAAGAAAAAAATCCCATAAAAAAGAAAAAAAAGAAAAAATCATGTAAAAAAGAAAGAAAGAAAAAACCACATAAAAAAGAAAGATAGAAAAAATCATGTAAAATGAAAGAAAGAAAAAATCACGTAAAAAAGAAAGAAAAAAACACACAAAAAAGAAAGATGGAAAAAATCACATAAAAAAGAAAGATAGAAAAAATCATGTAATAAAGAAAGAAAGAAAAAATCACAGAAAAAAGAAAGAAAGAAAAAATCACATAAAAAAGAATGAAAGAAAAAATCACGTAATAAAAAAACAAAGAAAAAATCTTGTAAAAAAGAAAGAAAGAAATAATCACATAAAAAAGAAAGATAGAAAAAATTATGACAAAAGAAAGAAAGAAAAAAAACCACATAAAAAAGAAAGAAAGAAAAAAATCACACATAAAAGAAAGAAAAAACTCACAAAAAAAGAAAGATAGAAAAAATGATGTAAAAAAGAAAGAAAGAAAAAATGACACAAAAAAGAAAGATAGAAAAAATCATGTAATAAAGAAAGAAAAAAAAAACACATAAAAAAGAAGGATAGAAAAAATCACACAAAAAGAAAGATAGAAAAAATCATGTAATAAAAAAGATAGAAAAAAAAACACATAAAATAAAAGATGGAAAAAATCATCTAAAAAAGAAAGATAATAAAAATCATGTAAAAAAGAAAGATAGAAAAAATCACATAAAAAAGAAAGAAAGAAAAAATCACGTAAAAAGAAAGAAAAAATCCCACAAAAAAGAAAGATAGAAAAAAATCACATAAAAAAGAAAGATAGAAAAAATCATGTAATAAAGAAAGAAAGAAAAAATCACGTAAAAAAGAAAAAAGAAAAAAGTAAAAGCAAAAGGAAACGGAAAGCAATAACTAAAAAAAAACAACTAAAGAAATAAAACTATTAAGGTAAGTAACAAAAAGAAGAAACCTTAAATTAAAGGAATTTAAAAAAAAACAACAGAAAGAAAGAAAATTAATAAAAACAAAACAAGAAAAAACGAAAGAAAATAACTGAACGTAAAAGGAAAAGGAAAAAGATAACTAAAAGTAATGGAAAGAAATAACAAAAGAAATAAAAAAGAATAAACCTTAAGAACAAAGGAAAGCTCCTAAAACACAAAGAAAGAAAGAAAGAAAGAAAGAAAGAAAGAAAGAAAGAAATGTATTTCAAATGATTCTTCAGTATACTATGTGTAAAAGAAAAAGGTCAAAAGAAGAAAGAGAGAAAGAAAGAGAAAGAAAGAAAGAAAGATGTGGATTTGAAAAATGAAAAAAAAAAAGAACTCCTAAAAACATAAAGAAAGAAAGAAAGAAAGAAACGTAGTTCAAGTGATACTACATTATACTATGTGCAAAAGAAACGTGTCAAAAACGAAAGAATTGAAAGATGTGGATTTATAAAAAAAAAATAAAATAAAGGAAAACATTATAAAGGTAAAAAAATAGCAAAAAAGATTGGAATAATCTGACAAAAACCAATTAAAGAAATAAAAAAAGAAAAGAAAGAAAGCTTAAGCCTTAAAAAAGAATTTAAAAAAAAATCAAAAACACCTAAAAAAAGAAAAAAATTAACTTGTTTTTACGGTTAATCGACATTTTTGCAGATTATTTAAACGCAGAAAATATTTTTAGATTGTAAGAATAATGTTTGATATAATAATGATTTATTGATACAAAACCTACTATTTAACCCATATACGGGGGAGAAGAGGTGGATTAATATCTTTTCTCACGGGTATTTGCGCGTAAGTGAATATAACGTGCCCCTGACTGGAATCCATTACACCAGCCATTACACCACCCTCACACCCAACCTTAAAGCACCTGCTACTACGACGTACGAGAACTGGTGTTTCAAACTGATTTGGCCGTACCCCTCCCCCCTATTCAATTTTACAAAATACTGAGTTCGAAATACAAAATTCAATTTAATATGTTTACTGCTGCCTTGGATATCTGAACACTTACATAAAACCATGTTTTGTCTTGTTTTTTGGGTTTTTTTTTAATAGAGTTTATATTAGAAATTGCTACATCAGATGACAAGCTCTATTTTGGTAAATAAAATTCAGTTAATTAACACATTCACTGCTAAATCTGTCGGTAAACGAAAATTTCAACAGCTAATGATAATCCCAATGGAGAGCAATTATCCAGAATGATGGTGACATCGACGGCCATTGGACCGAAGAAAGCTGTCATTTGCTGTCCTTGTGAAAGGTTCCATTAAAAATTGTTATATACGACTACGGAATGCCTCGATAGTGAGGCTAATGTACACATCGTAACTATTAAAATAAAAAGTACATTTTTAATTCTTATGGTGAAATTGAAGAATGTTTTACCTAATGTACATCGGGCTAAGTTTTTAGCCACCACTGATTAAAGCAATTTTGGCTTGTGTAATAACGTCTCTTCTTTTTGTTTCAAACAATACCGTGTTAGTATCAAGCTACCCTCATCTATGAAGGGCAGTTGTCTTATATTTTGCAATGAATGTGCGCGGAAGTAAGGAAATTGGTGAATTTCAACGAGGGCAAATAACAGGATGGCATCAGTGTGTCAAGTCAAATAGAGAAATTGCTAGGTTTTTTCAAGGTTAATCATCAAATGGTTAATAATATTGTCAAGAAATTTAATGAAGAAGGCCATTGTCGTGTGGAACAATGTTCAGGAATACCAAGCATCGTGTGTAAGCGAACGAAAAGGGCACTGAATAGGGAAGTCATTAGAAACCGTTGTCAGAGCGACAAAGATGCGGCTAACAACATGGAAATATCGCCATATGCGGTGAGAAAAACTCTGAAAGAGCTAGGCTATCAAAGAAGTGTTGCAAGAAAGAAGCCATTGATTTCAGAGGTTAACAGGAACAGGCGTATGGACTGGGAGAGAGAATTCGAGAGCAAAGTTTATGAATTTTGGCAGTCTGTAATTTGGTCAGATGAAAGTAAATTCTGCCAATATTCGAATTCGAGATTGATTTGTATTTGGAGAAATCAGAATGAGACATGGAACACTGAATGTCTGCAGGCGGCCTTGAAACACGGCGGGATTAGAGTAATGGTGTGGGGTGCTGTCTGGTTTAGAGGGTAATCTGAGCTGATTTTTGATGCCGATCGGTTGAATGGTCCAAAATACTGTCAAATATTAAAGAAAGAAATATTCCCATTATTCGAAACGAATCAGATTGGCAAGAATGTCTACCTTTTTCATGAAGATGGAACGCCATGTCATACGAGCAAAGTAGCAAAGGCCTGGAAGGAATCGTAAGGAATCAAATCCTTGTCATGGTAACTCAAATTCCTGACATGAATCCAACAGAGAATGTTTGGGAGCAACTTCACCGAAAACTTCAAGAGCGTACAACCAAAATCACGCCAGTGGCAAGCCTTAAAGAAATATTCCTAAAAGAGTGGCAAAATATGGATCAGATGATTTTTGATAAGTTGATCAAATCCATGAAAAACCGAATACAAGCACTGAAACTAGCAAATGAAGGACCTACTCCATACTAGTCCCAAATACTGTTTATTTATGTTGAGTTGGGATTACGTAATTACATTTTAAAATTGGATGTAGTTTATTTCTCCTGGCTAAAAAAACTTTTCTTAGGCCACTGTAGGTAAACATTAGTAAAAAAACAAAAAAAGTGGTAACCGAACCTATATATATATATATATATATATATATATAAATTTGACTCTTGAGTAAACTGTCTAATTTTTTTTTTGACTAGTGTAAAAACGGATCTATGTCTATCTTGTTCGTCTGCCTCATTTTTTTTACATTAGTGTCAACCAGATCTATATATATATATATATATATATATATATATATATATATATATATATATATATATATATATATACATACGCTAAAGCGTGAAACCCAGGGTCACAAACTCACATCTATCCAACCATATATATATATATATATATATATATATATATATATATATATATATATATATATATATACTCGTGTAGACTGGATATGAATCTATCATTTTAATTCTTACCTGCTTACCACTCGAGAAAGAAAACTCTAAATTAAAAACACACTTCTTCGTGGACATCTTGTGGACAAGAGACTGTTAAGTAGTAAACCCGGCACAAATCAAAACTGGCGCTTCTAAGACTACGTACTAAATCACGGCTCTCCACATCTTCCTTTTCTTTGTAGCTTATTCAACCAAGGACACATGGCCCGTTGGCTGAGGAATCTAAAAAGTGACTTGAGCCAAAGAATTGTGAGTTCAATACTTGGCCACAGCAGAGGAAACAAATACTTGGAGAGTTGCGTTACTAAAGGGAGATAACTGATACCGAGACACCCCCCTCCCCCCCCCCAATCTAAAATGCAATGGCACGTGGAATTAGAACAGTCTATTCTCGTGGGCTAAATAAAGTGTTCGGTTCTAAATTTCAACGTACATCATCTGAAGACGGTCGGAACGTAGAATGGTCAAAACGTCTTGGATGTTACAATAAAGAGTTGGGATCACGTAATTAAATTTTGAAATTGGATGCAGCTTGTTTCTCCTAGCTAAAAACTTTTCATGGGCAACTGTAATTGAATTTTCTTTTTGTGAAGAATTTCACCCCCCCTCCAAACAAGGCGGGAGTGGCACTAGAACGCAAGGGGTTACAGAAAGTAAGAACAAGAGTAAAGAGTGGGGTAGGGTTGAGGAAATATTTCATCATTGAAAATGGCTAAATGTATAGCCGAAAGCGCCTCGGTAAAAAAGAACATTCGGACAGTTTTATATAATTTGTCATCTGAAAAGAAAAAATATTTGAGCATATGAAAAATCATATAAAAAACTAAATCAAAGTATCTTGTCTGTCGTATTCATAGAAATATATATATATATATATATATATATATATATATATATATATATATATATATATATACACGGTCTCTATCTATATAATTGTTATTAAATTATATTTACCACAGCTGTAAAAAAGGGTTATTTCTTGTTCGTCTTGCCTTTCTCCTTGTCTTATCATCGTTATTATATCATGTTAGCCACAACTGTAAAAAACCGTCTTATTTCTTGTTCGTCCTCTCTTTCATCTTTGTCTAACTTCGTTATTAAATCTAGTTAGCCTTATCTAAAAAAGGGCCTTATTTCTTGTTCGTCCTCATTTTCTCTATATACATTCGTGATTAAATCCTGTTAGCCTCATCTGCAAAATGGTCTTATTTCTTGTTTGTCCTCTCTCTCTCTCTTAGTCTATATTCGTTATCGAATCCAGTCAGCCTCATCTAAAAACGAGCCTTATTTCTTGTTCGTCCTCATTTTCTCTATATACATTCGGGATTAAATCCTATTAGCCTCATCTACAAAATGGTCTTAGTTCTTATTCGTCTTCTCTTTATCTTTGTCTATCTTCGTCATTAAATACAGTTAGCCTCATCTTCGTCCACCCATCTGCAAAATGGTCTTATTTCTTGCTTCTCCTCACTTTATCTTAGTCTATATTGAATCCAGTTAGCCTCATTTAAAAAAAGGACCTAATTTCTTGTTCGTCCCCATTCTCTCTATATATTTTCGTGATCAAATCCCGTCAACCTCAGCGGAACCAGGGTACGTTATTGTTCGTCCTCACTGTCACTCACTATATAATTATTAATAAATTATATTAACTACAGCTTTAAAATGTGGTAATATCTTGTTGGACTTGTCTTTCTATTGATCTTCGTTATCATATCATGTTAGCCACAAGAGTAAAAAAAAATCGGCACATTTCTTGCTCTTCCTTTCTTTCCCTCCCTATCTTCCTTATTTATCACATTAGCCACAGCTGTGAAAAAGGGTCTTATTTCTTGTTCGTTCTCATTTTCTCTATATACATTCGTAATTAAATCCTATTAGCTTCATCTGCAAAATGGTCTTATTTCTTGTTCGTCTTCACATTCGCCCTCTATCTACATGATTAAATTCTGTTAACCTCATTCGAATATGAAAAAGGGTCATTTATTGTTCGTCATCTCTTTTTCTGTATATTCGTTATTAAATCATGTGAGCTCTCTCTGAAAAAGTGGCTATTTTCTTGTTAGTCTTCGCTTTCCCTACTCGGTGAGCGTCCTGTATATATGACGTTAAACTAGATCCGCGTCCTGGGTATGACAGTAAACTACATCCGCGTCCTGGGTAAGACGATAAACTACGTCTGCGTCCTGGGTAAGACGACAAACTACACCCGCGTCCTGGGTAATACGATAAACTACGTCCAACAGCAAGACCTCTGATCAGGAGTTTTTGAGGAGGGTGGAACCACCTGTTAATTGCTGGTGTTCCCAGGTCCACCCTGACCCAAGGTGGTAGCACCTGTTAGGGTCCCAGCTATGGGCAAATAGTTAACACCCAAACTTGTGTAAAAATAGGTTTTAATACCAGAAATACTTTGTAAAAAAAATGCCAACAATAATTTTTGAAGGAAAAATTATTATTGGCAATACTTTAAAAAAAAATCAATACAATCAGCTTTAGATTAAATCAATACAATCAGCTTTATATTAAAAAAAAAACATTACTAGCTATAGATTTCTTGAAGGAAAAATATTCTCAGAAATAGATATTTGAAGAAAAAAATATTCCCAGAAATAGATTTCTGAAAAAAAAAAAATATTACCAGCAATACATTTTTTGTCGGCGTTAAATAACCCATTGAGGTTGATAATGCCGTAAAACAAACAAACAAATCTTACGTCGTGAACTTCACTAAAGCAACCGTCATTTTTGTCGGTTCGTAATTTGGATTTCAAAGTTAGGGAGGCTCTGCGTAACCATTGGCAGTAATGACAGAACGCAAGTCGATAAGAAGGACTTTCTACGTAATCCACTTTTCGGCTGTCATTTTAAAAACCAAAATTCGAGAAATATTTGTTTCGATTCTGGCCTATCCAGAAGCACAATAGTCGCATCATCCTGATATAGTTGTTGTTGATGATGATGATGCAGTTTTTGTTGTTGTTGCTTGAACGTCCTCTCGTAGACTGGCCAAAGGTCATTCCGGCTTATTTTGGATATCTTCGTATTCGCCGGGTTTCTTTTTTTGTTCGACTACAAATAGCATGTTCGTTAGCCAACGGCGACGAAAATAGATAAAAGGGAATAAATAAATATATTACACTTACTGCACTAAAGATATTTCGAAAGCAATTCAGAAAGAAAGAAAGAAAGAAAGAAAGAAAGAAAGAAAGAAAGAAAGAAAGAAAGAAAAGAAAAGAAAAGAAAAGAAAAAGGAAGAAAGAAAAATAAGATAGGTAGACAGATAGACAGACAATAACTCAAGCAGTAATTCAGAAAGGAAGAAAGAAAAAATCAGGCAAGATAGATAGATAGATAGATAGATAGATAGATAGATAGATAGATAATATTTCGACGGCAATTCAGAAAGAAAGAAAGAAAGGAACAGACTAGATAGATTGATATACAGAAAAAAGGAAAATGACATAGACAATATTTCAAGCAGTAATTAAGAAAGAAAGAAAAAGAAAGAAAGAAAGAAAGAAATGAAAAGACGTGAAGGATAGATAGATAGATAGATAGATAGATAGATAGATAGATAGATAGATAGGAAGGAAAGAAGGAAATATTTTAACAATCATTAAGAAAGAAAAAAGAAAGAAACAAAGAAGCAGACAAGATAGATAGATAGATAGATAGATAGATAGATAGATAGATAGATAGATAGATAATATTTCGACGGCAATTCAGAAAGAAAGAAAGAAAGGAACAGACTAGATAGATTGATATACAGAAAAAAGGACAATGACATAGACAATATTTCAAGTAGTAATTCAGAAAGAAAGAAAGAAAGAAAGAAAGAAAGAAAGAAAGAAAGAAAGAAAGAAATGAAAAGACGCGAAGGATAGATAGATAGATAGATAGATAGATAGATAGATAGATAGATAGATAGATAGATAGATAGGAAAGAAGGAAATATTTTAACAATCATTAAGAAAGAAAAAAAGAAAGAAACAAAGAAGCAGAAAAGATAGATAGATAGATAGATAGATAGATAGATAGATAGATAGATAGATAGATAGATAGATAATATTTCGACGGCAATTTAAAAAGAAAGAAATGAACAGACGAGATTAATTGATCTACAGAAAATACTTTCTACAGAAAGAAGGAAAGAAAGAATGAAAGAAGGAAACAAAAGAAAAAAAGAAAGAAAAATGAAATAGGGAGACAGAGAGACAATACTTTAAGCAGTATTTAAGAAAGAAAGAAAGAAAGAAAGAAAGAGAGAAAGAAGTAGACAAGATAGATAGATACGTAGACAGACAAACAATATTTCGACGGCAATTCAGAAAGAAAGAGCAGATAAAAAGAAAGAAAGAAAGAAAAAGAAAGAAAAAAGAGAACACTATACAGATAAGATAGATAGATAGATAGATAGATAGAGAGAGAGAGAGAGAGAGAGAGAGAGGGGGGCTTATTTCGGAAGCCACTCAAAAAGAAAGAACGAATAAGAAGAAAAAGCTGAGAGATGAAAAAGAAGAATTAAAATAAAGAAATTTTTTGGTGAAGGAGAAAGAGTATAAGAAAAGCGTACGTGAAGAAGAAGAAGAAGAAGAAGAAGAAGAAGAAGAAGAAGAAGAAGAAAAAGAAGAAGAATTAAAAAAGAGAAATAAAGTGTTGGAGAAGAAAAAGAAGACGAAATACATAAGGAAAAAATAAGAATTAAAACAAAGAAATAAAGTGTTGAAGCAGAGGAAAAAGAAGGAGAAACATCTAAGAGAAGAAGACCGAAGATGTGAAAAAGAAGCAAAACGAAGAGATAATGAAAAGAAACACAAAGAAATGAATGAAAAATGAATTTTGTCTACATTGTCATAATGTATAAAAGAAAAACTAAAAAAAGGAAAAAAAAGAAGGTATATCTGGTAAAAGGAAAGAAAGAAGAAGAACAACAATCCAGGGGAAGAAAAGAAGGAAAAGCGAATGAAAGAATGAAACAAAGAAGGTACAAAAGAAAGAAAAAAGAATCGCAACGTACAAATAGAAGAAGAAGAAGAAGAAGAAGAAGAAGAAGAAGGAGAAGAAGAAGAAGAAGAAGGAAAAAGTGATGAAAGAGAAAAAAGAAGAGGAAATCAAAGGTGGGAAAAAGAAGAAAAAAGTCGAAGAAAAGAAGAATCACTTAAAATACAAAGAAGTGAATGGAAAATGACTTTCGCCAACATTCCTATAAGGTATAATGGAACAACTAGAAGAAGAAGAAGAAGAAGAAGAAGAAGAAGAAGAAGAAGAAGAAGGAAAAGAAGAAGAAGAAAAATGGAAAAAGAAGAAGAAAAAAGAAATGGTAATAATAATAATAATGAGAAGAAGAAGAAGAAGAAGAAGAAGAAGAGGAAGAATTAGGAGGACAAGGAAGAGAAGAAGGAGGAGGAGGAGGAGAAGAAGAATTCTTTTGCAATGCTATTTATTTGCATGAAGAAGCAGCAGCATCAGATGAATAAGAAGAAGAAGAAGAAGAAGGAGGAGGAGGAGGAGGAGGATGAGAAGAAGAAAAGTGGAAAAAGAAGAAAAAAAGAAATGGTAATAATAATAATAATAATAATGAGAAGAAGAAGAAGAAGAAGAAGAAGAAGAAGAAGAAGAAGAAGAAGATCGAAAGAAGTTAAACGAGTTTAACGACTTTTTACTGTTTTTATCATTCAGTTTGTTCTTTCATATTTGTGACATTTGAGGCCGCTTGTTTTATCCCGGAAACCGGCAAAATTAATGTGCAACAACAGCTGATACTGAAAAGTAAATACTAACAGATCTTAAAGAGAATCGAACCCCTCCAAGATGATGGTACATCAATTCAGTCACATCACTGTACGTGTCCATCTTCGGTGATGTCAAGATTGACGTCAATTCAGACAAAGAAACTCTAGACAGGGTCTACAAACGGCCAAACTACAAGGATTTGACATATATTTTTTATTCTCGCAAAACATGGCGGCCGCATCTGAAAAATGGTCTTATTTCGTGTACGTCTTATCTATCTATCTATCTATCTATCTATCTATCTGTCTATCTGTTATCGTTATCTGCAAAAAAGGGTCTTATTTGATGTTTTTTTCCACTTTCTCCATATATTCATTATTAAATCAAGTTAGTCACAGTTGCAGAAAAGGGCCTAATTTCCTGCTTGTCTTAAATTTTTCTCTCTATATATATTCGTAATTAAATTATATTAAACACAGCTTTAAAAAGAGGTAATTTCTTACTGGACTTGTCTTTAACTCTGTCTATCTTCGTTATCATATCTACTTAGCAACAAGAGTAAAAAACGGTCTTGTTTCTTCTTTTTCTCTCTTTCTTGCTTCGGTATTAAATCACATTCACCGCAGCTGTAAAAAAAAAAAACGATTGATTTCTTGTTTGTCCTCACGTTCTCTCTCTATCTTCGTTATTAAATCCTGTCAGCCGCAGCTTTAAAATTGTTTCCTTTCTTGTTTATCCTCACTTTCTCTCTCTATTTTCGTTATTAAATCCTACTGGCCTCATCCGAAAAAAAGGGTCACTTATTGTTCGTTTTCACTGTCTCACTCTCTCTCTATATATATTTATTAAAGACATTTTTATGTTTAACGTTCTTTTTATAGATACAAGTATTTAAGTAAATGCTCTGTTTATAATAAACAGTATTATATAACATTTACCGGCCTGAATGTCCGAGAAATTTTCATAAAAAATATACGTCCTTTGACAGGATTCGAACCTGCATCCTATACGGAACCGCTCGTTAAACATAAAAATGTCTTTAATAAATAAATTGTCGGACTTTGTCCGTTTCTTAATATATGACGTCATTTGTTTACATTTGATACGCCAGAGCAGTTATGAATGTACAAGATTCATGGAAGATTGAAGTTTATAAGAAGTAAATTCAACCTTGCCAACCGAACGATCCTTTGCGAGCGGTCAAGGCACGTCAGCATAAATGACGGTTCCGTATAGGATGCAGGTTCGCATCCTGTCAAAGGACGAATATTTTCTATGAAAATTTCTCGGACATTCAGGCCGGTAAATGTTATTTAATACTGTTTATTTTAAACAGAGCATTTACTTAAATACATGTATCTATAAAAAGAATGTTAAACATAAATATGTCTTCATGGAAGATTGAAGTTTATAAGCAGTAAATTCATCCTTGCCAACCGAACGTAAATGACGGTTCCGTATAGGATGCAGGTTCGAATCCTGTCAGAGGACGAATATTTTCTATGAAAATTTCTCGGACATTCAGGCCGGTAAATATATATATATATCTGTTATTAAATTATGTTAGCCTCAGCTGTAAAAAAGCTGTAATTTATTGTTCGTCATGCTTTTCTCCTTGTCTTATCTTCGTTATTATATCATGTTAGCCACAAGTGTAAAAAAAACGGTCTTATTTCTTGTTCGTCCTCTCTTTATCTTTGTCTAACTTCGTTATTAAATCCTGTTAGCCTTATGGAATTAACACATTAATTCCATTTATATTTTACGCGCGCGCGAGTTTCCTCCCTTCCTTTCACACTCGTGCGTGTGTGCGCGCGTGTTTTCACCCCTACCTTTCACTCACAGCTAAACATAGCAGTAACCTACTTTGAGCTCCTACTGATTTGGACTCATAACAGATTTTGAATTTTCCCGCGCGTTTCGCGGCGTTTCAAACGGCCAGCGTTTGCAAGCCAGTTGCCTCTTAGCTTTCGACCGGACTGGATGGGCAACTCATTTATTCCGTGCACTTAACCCATACGCGGGCCGGAATATCTTATTTTTTCAACAATGTCGACTGCACCCTCTACCAAGACTTTTTCTCCTTTTGAAGCTGCCAACAGGTCGGACCTTTTTCTCCGTTTTCTACCAGAAGATGTTTTAGAGATACGCGACACTGTCGCGAGCAAAAGTTCGTATTCAACTAATGGCGTATTTTTATCCCTCGTCAGGGGGCCTAATAAGTATAGGCAGGGATGTCCTACTGAACGAACAAATTGCTAATCACAGGTCAGGAACTTTTCTCCATTTTCTACCAGAAGACGTTTTTAGAGACACACGACACTGTCGTCGGCAGAAACTTCGTGTTCAACAGGTGACAAACTTACCCCTGGCTTCGAACCAAATAATACAGGCAGGGATAGTATTACCTTTGAACAAAAACATTTTTCGTCTTTCTCTTTGGGCTCGCCGTAAACCATTCTACAAGACCATGCTTCGTTTCTCCCGGCTAGATGCCCACAGCAGTCCAGAACATTTACCAGCGGTCAATTCAATGTTTCACCAAAAAAAAAAAAAAACTCTGAGACGACCGGACATTCTTTATAACTTTGAACCTGTACATTAAAAATATGCATAATCACTTACAACTTAAAATATCCACAGTGAGTACTCCTTTCTATCTGTGCGCACATTCTTTTTCCGGAACTGTATAAAACTTTCTTTTCCCGCCTTTGGCCATCTTGTGTTTTCTACTTTTGGCGTGGAACATTTTTCATTGATCCCGACCTTGGGATGAGTTACTTGTTACTGTTTGATTAAAGTTTACTCATGTTTTATAAACAGATGTCTTTGTCATTTTTATTTCGGCTATCTTAATATATTTTATTTTATGCACTTGTTGATTGACCCCTTTCCTCTCACTGTTCATTCACGCACATTTTTATCTTTTTACTTTGCTTGTAGACTCGGTAGTTTAGTGTGGTGTCTGGCACAAGGCCACTTAGTAATAAACCAGCACTGCACGCGGCCGGGTCTGCAACAGCCTCATTGGAAAAATGTCTTATTTCTTGTTCTTTCTCATTTTCTCTATATACATTTGTGATTAAATCCTGTTAGCCTCATCTGCAAAATGGTCTTATTTCTTGTTCCTCCTCACATTGGCCCTCTATCTTAATTAATTAAATTCTGTTAACCTGAATCTGAAAAAGGGTCATTTATTGTCCGGGTTCTCTTTTTCTTTGTATATATTCGTTATTAAATCATGTGATCAATCTCTGAAAAAGTGGCTATTTTCCTGTTAGTCCTAGCTTTCCGTGCGCAACTATTCTCATTAAGACAAACCATCATTTGTCTCTGTTCGTAATTTACATCGACTGGAAATTCGAAGTTAGGGAGGCGCTGCGTAACCATTGGCAGTAATGACAGAACGCATGTAGATAAGTAGGTCTTTCTACGTCGTCCACGTTTCGTCTGTCATTTTAAAAACTAACTTCGGGAAATATTTGTTTCGATTCTGGCCTATCCAGAAGCACAATAGTCGCATCATCCTGATATAGATGTTGTTGTTGTTGTTGTTGATGCTGTTGTTGTTACTTCAACGTCTTCTTGTGGACTGGCCAAAGGTCATTCCGGCTTATTTTAGACATCTTCGCATTCGCCAGGTTTCATTTTTTTTTGTTCGACTACAAATAGCATGTTCGTTAGCCAACGGCGACGAAAATAAAAACAAACGGATAACTAAATCTATTGTATTGTTCCTCCTCAGTTTTTCTCTCCATCTTCGTTATTAAATCCAGTTAGCCTCATCAGAAAAAAGTTCTTTTATTCTTAACCGTCACTATTTATTTTTATTAAATTATTGTTATGGTCGAGGTTAGGACCAAGGAAGAACAACACGAACACAAGAGTAGAAATAACGAAGGTATATTACACGAAATAATAATACAAGATGTGGAAGATGTTAGTATGACTGTCAGTCTGGTTTGGAGTAAACTACTATCGGCTCGACTCGATTCGATAATTACTAGCCCCACCCCACCCCACGAGGGAAAGATTTGACACGAGGCCGGGTTTTACGTGGGTTTTCCGAGCCCGTAGGATCGGCCAAAAAATGCCCGTAGAAACTGTAAAAACAGAATCGTGTTGGTCAACCTCCCCGAACGAGACTCTGCACCTTCGGCTGAGCCTCGTCCGGGTTCCTCTCTGCTCAGAGGCAGAGAGTTCGACCGTCAAGCCGAGCTTCTCGGCTTGATTCGGTATCTAGCCCCCACCCCCCACGAGGGTTGCATGTGCCACAAGGCCGAGATTAACGTGGGTTTTCCGAGCCCGTAGGCTCGGCCAAAAAAAGCCCGTAGAACACGTATAAACAGGATTGGAGTGGTCAACCTCCCCGAACAAGACTCTGCCCTTCGGCTAAGCCTCGTCCGGGTTCCTCTCTGCTTAGAGGCAGAGAGTTCGACCGTCAAGCCAAGAAGTTCGGCTTGATTCGACCCTCTCTCTTGAGAGGCGTAGTATACATAGTGTTAGGAAGAGTTCATTCTGTAGTTATAGGTAAAGACCGATGAGAATTATATTAAGCACAATTGTAACAAGAGGTCATTTTTGTTCACCTTGTCTTTCTCTTTGTATATATCCTTTATTAAATCATGTTAGCCAAACGATAAAAAAATAAGTCTTATTCCTTCTTCG